GAATATTTTGGGCTTCCAATGCTCGGCGCTATGATTTTTATTAATTTGTCATGAAAAATGGAAGATACAAAAATTATTTATCATATAGACGATGAGGACACCCCATATCTTGTTAAAATATCCGCCCCGTCCGACAAAGTTACTCTCGGGGATTTTAAAACTGCCTTAAACAGGCCAAGTTACAAATTCTTTTTTAAATCCGTTGACGCCGATTTTGGGTATTTCTGGCGTAGCATTACATATTGCCCCTTATAGTGTTGTGAAGGAAGAAATAACAGAAGATTCTGCTCAGCTTCCCTGTTTTAATGGCAAGGTCATAGCCTGGGTAAGTTCATTCAGCATCACTAATTTTTGTACTTGTTGGTTTTACGCAATCAAGTTGGTTAGCTCTAGCGTTGTAGGACATGTATACTCGCGAAAAGGCGCAGGCTTAAGTTGAATCCTATATCAAAAGGGAATATTGATGGCCCAAGTGTCTTGATCATGACCCGTTAGGAGTATTAATTAAGGTGTCTTCAACTGAAATCGGGGCTTTTTGATTGAAAAAATATTTTCGCTTAAAACTTTTCTATTAAAATAACAATTAGGATATAAAATATGTTTTTAGTAAGTTAAGTATGCACTTTCTAGTAAATTAATCGAACAATCTGAATTTAGTCAGGTACTTTCATCCCAACGTATCGTGTTGCTTATTCGTTGGCTTTCATTCTATGTAATGTAGGCTAAAACGATTTTGATCTTAAATATTATTATACATCTGAGTTCTACCGCGCTTTACTTCCGCTCTTCTAAGTATCGCATTAAACGTGAATTGGTGAAAACTTAGTGAACAAATTATTGATTTTGTGTTTTTGAACTTCGTGAAATATTTGACGCAGCGTTGACGCAAATATTCTCATACCGCCTTTTTGGCCTTTCTAGTTGGTCTCTGCGGATAGCAGCACAAAATCTGACAATCAGTCCGGAGGTGCCGGGGATGCTACACATCACACAAAGGCCATCTTAGGGTCTGTCTGCAGATTTTTACAACGTACTTTGAAAGATTTTATCTGATGGCTGAACTACAGGTTGTGAGCGAACTTAGGCGTATGCTAGATCGTTGAGAGTTTCATAACTCTTGTAGCGAGTAGATCTGCATATATTTTTGTGGTTAAAGCGTCATTAAGTCAGTCAAATCGGCTGATAGAATTATCGCACAGTTCTTGACACTCCATTTCAGTCTATCATAATTTTGCCTTTATACTGTTATTTCCATGCAGCCCTAACGCAGTTATTTGACTTGCAGGTGCAACCTGTTTGCTAATTACTTTTAGCAAAAATCATGCGTGTTTAAAATATGCTCATTCTGCCGTATTGAATAGACCAGAAGCGTTCACTGTATCGTTTTATTCGCTTCCTCACCATCAACCAGATCAGCGTCAGTCTTTAAGGAAATTGCCACTATTCATTTGACTTTGACATATTCTTTGAACTTTATTTCCAGACCAAAAACTGTTGACCATGGTTTACCTACACGGGCTTCCACTGACGAATCGAAGGGTGGTCCTAGCAATGGCAATGCCATGGTCAAAAAAGGCGCCGTGGGAAACAGAGATACACGTGAAGACTGTGATACCTGCGCTGAAACTGATTCCATGTGCAGCGCGGATCATCTCCCTCCCCTCAGGAACTTCCAGGACTACAAGCATGGTAAGTTCCCCCTTTAGCCTTGTTAGGCATGTAGAAAGTTACGTTTACATGCTAAAAATAGAAAGATGTCGCTTATTTGAAAATTTGTTTATTGGCCATTCACTGAATTTACCCAGAGCACTGTGCCCATTTTAGGTTCACGATTGGGCAAGTATGGGCAACGAAATCAAGGAATTTACGATACGTCATCATCCATGCTAAGCTCGGATCTCGAATCTACCAGCTTTTTCGACTCTGAGGACGAATCTAGCCGGTGAGTAACCTTGTGCATATATCGCCTAGAGTAAAGTTGCCCACTTAACCGATTGAAAACAGCCGCAACCTTCACGTCTCAATTATGAACATTGGCACTGTTATGTGGGGCCAATTAGCGTTGGTTTTCCAGTTTAATCAGTGTCTATGTATCGCCTGTTGACCTTCACCTTCGGACTTCCTAGTCTATTTACCACGAGTGTTAAACTGCTCATAAATCGCTAAAATTTAAGGCATTTATCTTGTCGCAAGCTCTGTCTATTCTCCTTCTGTACCCTTTATTTTCCTCTATGGGCCTTGTTAGTGAGCTCTGTCATGGTTTGCGTAGGTTATAATAAACTGTCATACCTGCAGTGCCGCCTGTTCATTCGCTTGCATTGACAGTAGCGTTGGCTGGGTTATGGATCCGAGTGCCCTCTTTATTTAAATGTACATTTTAAGCTCGCTGGCTTCCCGTATGCCTTTTTCATGCACTTTATTTTTGTCATGTTGATTCTCATAGCTCGAAACTGCATCTACGAAATTCCCTCAGTATAGAAAACGGGCCGGCTTTTATTCCTCCAGAGTTAAAAGGGTTGAATTATCTGAAGAAAAAAAAACTGGGGTGTTGTTTACTTTTGAGGGATACCCAGTCTTTTGTGAGGCCATTGTCTGAGTGTATGTTAAAGCAAGCCCTACTAAAAATATATTTGACAGTCATGCCACAGGTTAGACATCCTTTTCGGGGTTTCTCGTGTAGCAGTCGTGTACGTTAAAACCTATTCATGAGGCAGCATCGACTTCCAAAGTAATTAAGCGCCACGTTTTTCACTTCACAGCAGTACTTTGCTTTTCTTCATATAAATCATGAATTCGCCCATCCCTTTTCCATGCCTATGAAAACCACTTTCGGTAATCTAGCTAACTTGATAAATTATACCTAATAATCTCGACTGTCATATAAGACAGTACTTTAGCTTGTTGTTCGTGCATTCTCTTCTCCAAGACTATTATAAACAACAGCCATATTGCCAGACTGCATCTCTGTCGCGTCTAAAACATCTTGGCTGCAAAATTA